GTTTCAAATAAGAATAGAAAATCAGGAAAAATGTCTTTAAGGGAAGGAATGGTGTGGATTTCCTGTTATTAAGAAGCTGGTAAATACTGGTAATACGTAAGAAACATGTCTTTTCTTCTCAGTAAGAAAACAAGGTAATTAGAAATTTTAAGGAAAAAAAAATCCCTGCACAACCAATGCGTAGTTACATGTTATAATCATCTACAATGTAGGGTGAATGAAATACTCATTTTTGTAAGCATAAAGGTGTACGTCAGTGAAATAGTTGTCCCAGGAACAGGACTTGGATAACTGGGGCGGTGGATGTTTCCTTTTTTCTTTTTCCAGCTCTGTGGATATATTTGAGAGGAGAACAGAGCACTGTTTGGAGGATTCTTCCTCTTTGCAGTGAAAAGTTGGCTGCCCCCCGATTTAGATAGTGTAGGTTGTAGAGGGCTACATCTGCTGTGCGAACGTAAACTAAATAATTCATCATTACCATATAATCAACTTTTAATTATATTATTGGAATTTAAACTGAAAATCTTTGACAAGGAGCATCATTCATAATTACTGAGTATCACATGTGTTTGAACTACTAATATAATTTTTGATATTTACCAAGTATTTGCTGTTGCAGTTTTTTAATTATCCCATTTAATCCTCACAACAGTTCCCTAAGGTAGTATCTATTAATATTCTCATTTTAAAGATTAAAACATATAGATTTAGATTGAGAGGTTAGGTAAATTCGACAGATTTACATAGCAATGGAGTGGTAGAGCCACTTGCTGTTATCATTATCCTTTTTTCTAGACAATTTTTTCATGTGTAAACATCTTTTTTCGTGATTTCAGAGTGAAAGATTCAGGCCAATGTGTGTGTGTGTATATATATATATGTATTTAATATTAGTGCTTGCCATTGTAATTGCTGATTTAGGTATAGTATTTAAGAGAGACTGAGATTGCTAGACACTAATATACAAAAGTAAAATCAAAGCTCTAAGATTGGTTTTTGCCTTTAAGAAAACTTTTTACTAAGGAAAACTTCAAACAAATTCAGAAACTATTAGAAGAGTACGCCCAGCTCTCTATCCTGCAGTTCACAGTCACCAGCTCGTGGTCAGCCTTGCTTCATCTCTGGCCTTCCATCGTCCCTTTGGTTCATTTCGAAGCTAACTCCAGACGTTATTTAATTTTGTGTATAAATATTTCAATATATATCTCTAGAAGATGAGGATTCTTTTTAAAAAACCCACAATATTACTGTCTTACCTAAAGTAATAGTAATTCCGTACTATTAAATATCTAGTCAATGTTTAAATTTTCTCAATTATGTTACATTTTTTTATGCAGTTTATTTGACTCAGGATTGCAATAAGGTTCTTAGATTGCAATTGGTTGTTGCATTTTAAGACTTTCTTTTTTTTTTTTTTTTTTTTTTTGAGACAGAGCCTCAAGCTGTCCCCCTGGGTAGAGTGCCATGGCATCACAGCTCACAGAAACCTCTAACTCCTGGGCTCAAGTGAGTCTCCTGCCTCAGTCTCCCAAGTAGCTGGGACCACAGGCGCCCGCCACAATGCCTGGCTATTTTTTGGTTGCAGCCGTCATTGTTGTTTTGGCAGCCTGGGCTGGATTTGAACCCTCCAACTTAGGTGTATGTGGCTGGCGCCTTAGCCACTTGAGCCACAGGCACTGAGCCAAGACTTTCTTAATATACAGATAACCTCTTCCTCTTTCTGTTGTTCTGCTTGCAATTTATTCATTAACTTCATCTTTCTTGTAGAGTTTTCCATAGTCTGGATTTTGCTGATTGCTTCTTTGCACCTCTGTCCCTTGTATTTTCAGTGCCAGTTACACTTAAAAGCTTGATCAGATCAGATTTAATCTGGGGGCACAGATTACTTCAGAGGTATTATGTGTCCTGCCAGAAGCACATGTCTGCTCGTTCCTCACTATTACAGCCATTGGTGATCATTATCCAGCCTTGTTACAAAATGGCAATATTCTAGCATTTTGATATTTCACTTACTGACCAGAATAATTCCATAAAGGAATACTTTCCCACATCTACTATTTTGTTATTTTGGGATAAAGCATTTAACAGTATGGGCAAGATACATGCTTAATTTTTTTTTTATGTATCAGTTTTCATATTGAGTTGGTTCCCTAGCATCTTCCAAGAGTGAATAATTAGGTTTTAAAAAGTGCACAGACTCATGATTTGACCATATTTCATGTGTTTTGATCCCCTGGTGTTGGTGATGAAGTTGTCCTGTCTTTGGCTATTAGGAGGCTCTTCAGATTGACCCTGAGCCTTTCCGACAGGCCGTGAGGCTTCCCTACTTTCTAGATTCTTAGGTTTATTGTGAATGTTTCCTTCCTGAGACATGAAATCAGATATTTTACAAGGCATTTTAGTTTCTTTTGGGAAATGGTATTTAAACACTATATCTAGGTGCTGGGAACATTCATAGTTTGTTCCTTGTTTCTAATATCTTTCAATGGACAGAGCTAAGAAATATTCTCATAAAAAGATAAAAGTTATTATAAATTATCACATATCATAAGTTATCAATACCTTATGATACCAATACCTTTGATACCAATATCAAAGACCCTGCCTGGGCCTGTTAAACAACGACAACTGCAACAACAAAAAAATAAAATAGCCGGACATTGTGGCAGGTGCCTGTAGTCTCAGCTACTCAGGAGACTGAGGCAAGAAAATTACTTAAGCCCAAGAGTTTGAGGTTGCTGTGAGCTGTGACTTCACAGCACTCTACTGAGGGTGACATAGTAAGACTTTGTCTCAAAAAAGTTACCATAAATTTATAGTAATACTCCTAATTCAAATTTTGGACTTTACATTTTAAAAACTCTTATTAGCTTATATTTGTTTCTTCTATGTTAAAAATTCTGATGCCCAGGTGGCACCTGTAGCTCAGTGAGTAGGGCACTGGCCCCATATACTGAGGGTGGTGGGTTGCAACTCGGCCCTGGCCAAATTGCAACAAAAAAATAGCTGGGCATTGTAGTGGGCGCCTATAGTCCCAGCTACTTGGGAGACTGAGGCAAGAGAATCACCTAAATCCAAGAGCTAGAGGTTGCTATGAGCTGTGATGCCACAGCACTCTACTGAGAGCAATACAGTGAGACTTTGTGTACAGTTAGATTGAGTTTGTATCATTTTCCTGTAATTTATGGAACTGTTTTTTAAAAATCTAATTTCTAAAAACTATAATTTTCAGAGTCAAACTACAGAATAGTTAGTTATATTCTGTCCCTAAATTCTGCTTTTTCCTTTTCTCCTATAGCTAACCATCAGCACATGTAGCTTTTGACATTTAAAGTAATTAAAATTAAATAAAATTAAAAATTAGTTCCTTAGGTGCAGTAGTGACATTTCAATGCTCAGTGGCCACATGTGGCCACCCATCATCTTGGCCGACACAGAATATTGAATGTGGCTGGGTGTGGTGGCTCACGCCTTGTAATTTTAGCACTTTAGGAGGCTGAGGCAAGTGGATTGCTTGAGCTCAGAAGTTCAAGACCAGTCTGAGCAAGAGTGAGACCTTGTCTCTACTAAAAACGAAAAATTAAGGTGAGAGGATCACTTGAGACTAAGATTTTGAGGTTGCTGTGAGCTGTGACGCCATGGCACTATACCCAGGATGACAAAGTGAGACTCTGTCTCAAAAAATTCCATCCTGGCAGAAAGTTCTAGAGAAGCCATTTTTTCCATTGTGTTTGATTTATCCTTCTACTTTTTAAAAGTATACAAAATTATGTTAAAAGACTAATGTCTTAATACATTTTCCCAACTTTTTCCCCAAAAACCCTACGGGTCTTTTCCTGACAGCTACTCTGGCAGCATTGGCTATTACTATTTTGGAAAATCTTAGCTAATTCCATATCTTTAAACATGGTATCTGAAGTTGAATACTTCTGTTTTTTAAATTATTTACTTATTTAATTTCGGGTTAGTGTGAGGGCACAGACAACGAGGTCACAGTGTTGGCCTCTGCCAGACTCCCTCTCAGAGTTGTGGCTGAAACTGTTCATGTGTCTGTTGCTGTGTTACCTTTTCTGGGTCTTGTATGTATTTTACACATTTAGATTTTGACCTCCTATTTTTCTTATGGGATGTTATTAGGTACTTTATGTATCAAGGATGATACATTTTTCTGTAATGTTTGCAAATACTTTCTATCAAATTTTTTTTCTTTTAATTTAGTTGTTTTTGAAATGTACTTTAGTTTGACATTTTTCTGTGGCCCAACTTAGATATTCTTCTTTGTTTTTACTGGCGGGTTTGTTGTTTACCTCCACACCACCTCTTACTCTCCACCCCAAAAGAAAAAAACTTGCAATTTGATCATTATTGTATTGTTAACATTTAGCATTTGTGTTTATTATATACATATCAATAACTCTTAAGATACAAAGGAATGAAATCTACTTAACATTTATTTATTCAGAAGCAATTATATGTCAGGTACTTTATATGTTATCTAAACTATGACAGAGTTTGTCTTTACTCCAAATACTGTAAATAACTTATGTGTGAAAATATTGATAAATTACAACTTCTTTTTAAAATTATAAGCTGTATATTATTTTGTTATTTATTTGTTTAGAGACAGAGTCTCAGTCTGTCACTCTTGGTAGAGTGCAGTGATCATCATAGCTCACAACAACCTCAAACTCCTGGGCTCAAGCAATCCCCTTGCCTCAGCCTCCTGAGTAGCTGGAACTATAGGCGTGTACCCCCATGCCTAGCTAGTTTTTCCTGTTTTTAGTAGAGCTGGGGGTCTCCCTTTTGCACAGGCTGGTCTTGAAGTCCTGAGCTCAGGCAATCCACCTGCCTCAGCCTCCCAGAGTGCTAGATTACAGGTGTGAGGCACTGCGCCCAGCCTGGTTTGCTTTTAATGTCTTTCATTGCAATTAATGGTAGAAATGTATTTCATGACTACATGTGATGAATCTCCCTTTCCCTTCCTTAATTATAGGGTAAAAAAGTGTTATCTTTGGGCTGCCAATGAGAATCGTGTTCTACGGATATATTGTGGAGAAAACAAATTGCACAGAAATGAATACTCTTACCAGGATCTTATGAAATTGTTCTTCAGTGTTGTCATAGACATTTCTGGAGAAACGAATCTTTGAAATTATGTGAAAAGAGACCATTTTTCAAAACAATGGGGGAAAAAGCAAGAAGTTCAGATAGTGATGAAGAAAGACAGACAGACAAACGCCATTATTATTATTCTTCTGATTTTGGAACTACACCACAGTCTTCTGGCCAGTCATCACTGGTTGATTCTTCACCTCCACGTGTTAAGGGGAAAAATTATAAAAAACAGACTTCAGATAGCCAGGTGTATCACCAAGGTAAGTATTCTTTACAAGGGACTGGTGGACTTAGAAGATTCATTTTTAGTACTTAAGGAAAATTTATATGATAAAACCCTTCTATTAGGATGTATGTCATATATATGGAAATGGACTGATTTACATTAGATAGGTTATGTGTTTATAAACTTATATAAATGGTTATATAAACTTAAATAATATAATGTTTATATAAACTTAAATAATATAATATAATGTTAAAGAATGGTATTACACAATACCATAACTCTTTGTTATAAGAATTACAAAGTATATACAAGAGGCCAGGTGTGGTAGCTCACACCTGTAATCCTAGCACTCTGGGAGGCAGAGGTGGGAGAATAGCTTGAGCTCAGGAGTTCGAGACCAGCCTGAGCAAGAATGAGACCCCCATCTCTAAAATAATAGCTGGGTGCTGTGGCAGGCTCCTAGCTAGGAGGATCACTTGAACCCAGGAGTTTGAGGTTGCTGTGAACTATGACGCAATGGCACTCTACCCAGGGTAACAGAGTGAGACTCTGTCTCAAAAAAAAAAAAAAAATATGGCTCGGTATTCATAGTTAGTGGTTAGGGTGCCAGCCACATACACTGGGGCCGGTAGGTTCAAACCTGGCCTGGGTCTGCTAAACAACAATGACAAGTATAACAAAAAAATACCCGGGTGTTGTGGCAGGTGTCTGTAGTCCCAGCTACTTGGGAGGCTGAAGGAGGAGACTCGCTTAAGCCCAAGAGTTTGAGGTTCCTGTGAGCTGTGATGCCACAGCCCTCTACCCAGAGGGCATAATGAGACTCTGTCTCAAAAAAAAGAAAAAAATATATATATACACATACACATGCACATATGTATATAAATAAGAAAGTAACATAGCTAAGGCTGCTTATTTTGTTGTCTCTTCTTCCTAAATAAATACTTTTCTTTGGGATTCTGATGTAAATAAAGATCAGATTATAAAGGCAAAAAAGAATTATAAAACATTTATACTTTTCTGTATCTTGATTTTCTAAAAGTGGTGAAAGGCATTGAATAAAGTGGCTAAGGAGCATTTTTATAGATTAAATAAAATTACTCTAGATAATGTACTATTTACTGTAAAAGTTCAAATTAAAACTAAGAATGGGATTGGAGACTTGGACCACAAGTCTAATTTGTTTTCTATTTAAGTGTATTACAATGGAAAATGGATTTATCATTAGAAATAATTTTTATTTTTAAAATGGCACTAGTGTGGAACTAGATATTAATACATATTTGATTTTATAATTTTCTGAAAATCTCTTTTTGTCTCAATAAGTCTCTGATGGAGAAAACTCCACTGTACCTACTAATAAAGTATGAAAGGTCTCTTAAGTACAGCACAGCAACGTAGGCTAAGGCAAATGAGGTAATTACAGTACGTACTAATAAATGTGGTGCAGTTATAGCAATGGTAGCTTAAAATGGTGAAAGTTTAGATGGCAAGGTAGGGAGTGATGAAATTGGGGGATGAAAAGGAAAATGGGCCACATAATGAAAACCTGGAATCCTATGCTAATATATTGACTATGTGGGGAATAGTTAGCCATTGAAAAGATTTAAGCAAAGGTATCATTTGCCTTTATAAACTCTTACTTTGAAAAACAACACTTGCTCACTGTAAACTACCAGAGTATGTATTCTTTTTGTAAGGAAACTTTTCATGTCCCCCCAGTCTAGCCGCTCAGGGATATCCATACTTCTAACCACGGGGTGCTGCTTTTTCTTTTTCTTTTTGTGTTTTCCAGTATAGTGTTTTCAATTTATCTTCTCAACGGTCTCTATCTCTAAGTCACAGTGAGGAGCTCTAGTTATAATTTTGTAGCTGAGAGCTTGACATGATGTTAAACTTTTACTGTATGATTAAGAACAAATAAATCTTAGGGTTAATACCTGTTTTTCCCAAGAAATAATAGGGCATGGTTGACAAGGAATCCAGGCAGTCCCTGAGTTACAAACATCTGACTTATGTACAGGTCACACTCAGGAAATGAGGCCACTAGGTAATAGGTGTAAGTACCTATTCCAACTTACATACCAATTCTACTTAAGAACAAAACTACAGACCCTATCTCATTTGTAACTTGGGGACTGCCTGTACTTCAGTTTTTCCTTTGTTCTCAGAAGCAACTTAGAAGGCCACCCAGTGAAGGAGTTGGAACTTTGCACAGCTAACCTTATTTAAGGACATAATTAAGAAAATCTGTGAAAAACTGTTCAGCATCACTCGGAAAATTTCAATTACTGTCTTCAGCCGGAGTTGTTCTGTTTTCTACTTCACACTGTTATTTGAATTAAAATCTGTGATAATTTGTCTCTTAGATAGGGTGACCAGATTCTAACATCTGTAAGGCGGGACAACATGGCCGGGGGCGGAGC